TTAAGTCCAGGCTGAACTTAAGGAAAAATCCCACTCATTGGCTTGATTTACTCCATGTCCAGCAGAACTAGTTGTTGCACTTTTTGTATGGCTTCCTGCTCTTGTCTGCCTGAAGCAGCACAGGACCTCTGAACAGCTGAGCATTTCCGGATAAAAAGGATAACTTTGCATGCAAAACTACAGATGTATATCCTACTACCAAACCGGCACTGAACAACACTATCCAGATTGTGAATACCTTCTGTCTCAAACTGTCTCTTGGAGAGACTAATTTATATTTGAATCTTATAGTCTATTAGTTGAATACTATTAAAACCCCGTAATCCATACTTCCCTAGGAAGGGTGTTCTTAAATGTTATCTTTGAAACTATTTCAAATAAATCAGATAAGAATATAGTGACGTTTTTAAGGTTCACAACACTTTGATTAGTAAGGCAATACACAATTTAAATGCTTGGTGAAATGGGCTGTAAAAATGGCTTTATCAAACCATAGGAGTAAGAATTTGTCTTGTAACATTAATCACAGTAACTGTGAAAGAGACTGATCCTACTATCCTTGTTCAAGCTCCCATGGAGGTTTTGCTTATCTAAGGAATGTTAAATCAGGTCTTTAAGACAAGCTGCATTTTTAAATTATTTGGAAGACCTTCTGGTGCATTCACCAGAGTTATACATAACATCAGATACTTTTTATTTATAAAATCCATAAACCACATGACACATAAGATGACAAGCAACATTCAGAGTCTCATGGTAGGTAAAGTGAAAAGAATAAGGTACCTACACTAAAATGATGTTACAATAGTACATGATAGACAGAATGACAGAGCAGTTTCACTTGAACCAAGTAAACAGAAAGAGGCTGGGAAATCTTTTACCACTGTCAGAACATAAATGTGTTCTGGCAGCAGCTTTCAGCTGAACACCTATTCATTTAGACAGAACTAATACATGAGGCATGTGTTAGAAACGTGCTCCTAAAATATGTCTGCATGCATCACCTGAGAATGAAGGAAAAACACTAAGAGAGCAGTAAAATTAGTTAAGTGGCCACCAATGCTGACTAATCTAAACTGTAGCAAATTATTTGTGCAATATACTAAGCTACTGTTCATAATCGTGGTAATAGCCTGTCTCTTCTTCCCCTTCTGCCTGCCAGAATGCAATATTTTGACAGGAGACAGAATGTACAGGTCTCTGTAGCATAGTTAATTAAGTATAGTTGTTTATTCCCTAGGCCTGCGTAAAGATCCGCTGCTCATAGCTCCTCAATAACTTCCTCCCACCGTTCAATTACCCCAATAGTCTCTACACTGTGCTCGCCTTGGACATGTGCAGACAGAGAGTAAGTTAGAGAAATAGTAAGTGAATATCTTAAAATTGGCAACACAAACAGAGTAACAGAGTAGTGGTGGTTGGTTCTTCAGGGTACTGCTGCCTTGTTATTACTTGTATACAAAGTATACACAAATAGTGCTTGAGAAAACTATTTTCACTTCCCTTGTGGAACTAGCATTATTTGCCTGCTACACGTTCTGGGGCAGTACAAAAGGAGCTAGAATTTCTGCCCAAGCTTAACATAGCACACTCTGGGCCTCATAACAAAGAAAATACTCCTCTCATTCTTGTCACCTTCCCCTGATAAGCACTAGCAGTTCTGAGCCCTCTATTTTGCTGTTAATGCTGTGACTACAGAAATATGTCAGCACAAATACAGGTGGGGAGGGAGGGAGGACCAAGCGTCTAAAGGTGGGACAAGTGCAAGACTACTTTTGTAGTGCTGTTGGCTTAAGCAAGTTTAAGCTGCACTTGCAGTTACAGCTTAAAAACTGAAAGCATGGTATGAGGCATACACATACAGATTTGCCAGAGAACCATGGATTGTGGTGTAAATTGTACTGGTTCCATGAACAAATTCCAGGACTACTAGAGACTACTTACTAATGATGGCCTTGTTTTTTGTAAGAAACCACACTAACAGGCATAGGAGGCTGTGAAATAAATCCAAGACAAAAACTGGAAGTCACGCTGTAAAGGCAGTCGCATTGTTCTGGTTATCTAACACTTATCAAGAAAAAGCAGTAAGAAATGTCCTGTAAGAGATAAACCACATCTTCAAGGTTATTTACCAAGACGCAGATCTTCAGAGAACTTTAGGCGCTTAGTCATCATCTAATTAAACATTTCTGTGCATAATAGCTTGCCTAAATATCTATGACAGTCTGAACCAATCCTCTGCTTTTCATCCTTCAGTTTCATCCTTTTAAAAGAATTACTCAAAGTAAATGAACAGATTAGCTTTCAATATTGTGAGGCAACAGAATAATAGGACCTTAGAGATTCTTCAGGAGGTGTTTGGTTACAAATATACCTTCAACAGCAAAGGAAATCATGACAAGAAGAGAGATTAGCTTGCAATTCAGAAGACCAGATTACTTAAACTTGGAGTTCAAGAAGGATAGTGTCCAGATTTTTTTCCTTTTCCTTTCCTGGATCCTCCCACCAGAGTTGGTGAGAAAATCTTAGCTTGCCAGAAAAATGCGTCAAACTGATGAAAAGAGCAGAGTCTAGCCTAAGATCCATGCACATACTCTTAGTCTTACGTAGGAAAGGATGTTGCTGTCAGCAACACAGCAGTGCTACTCAAACTGTCAGGGTACTTTAGGAGAACCATACTTCGGGAGTCTGCACCAATAGATTGTTCCTAGCTTTGTGCATCAACATACTAACATGGATCATGTGATTCAAAAATTCACTAACCTCTATACAACCTATTTCAATGAGGGACTCCTCTGTTCTTTTACTATACTCATGGATGCTGCTGCAAAACTCCACTGCAAACTGGAATCTAATTCCTATTGACCAGACCATCCATCTCCATCACTGAGGGATTGGTCTGAATCTCCTGAATGCGTCCAGATGCTCTCTGGATGAAATCTCTCCAGCACGGCCCTCAGCCAGACCCAGTCCAGCTGCTGCTTGGATCAAACCCCTCCAGCATGGCTCCCTGCCCAGTCCAGCTGCTCTCTGGATTAAGTAACAGCTCCTGGTTAGTCCAGCAGCTCTCTCTCCTTCCTCACATGCCAAACATGCACCACAAACTCCTGTCAGGCCAGTTTGCTGAGTGCAGTCACTCAGGTGAGAAAGAACATCCACTCTTGGATTTGGTCAGCAAGCCATCCCTCCAAAGAAAGACACTACGGTTGTAGGAGCTAGAGTGAAATGAAACTTTTTTTGATGAATAATTTACTTGTCACACTTTTGCAGTCACTTAGTCACAAAGAAATACAATTTCAAGTTGATCAAAACTAGCTCCAAATTGGTGCCAAAATCCTCCAAGTAGATTAAGGAAAAACACATATTTAAAACCTCATGCTCACAGAGATTAAAAACTGACCCATGCATGCCATGGATTTGCAGCCTTCTTCAGTACGCGTTGCTTCCACTTTCTTTGCTCTGCTTGTGAGTGTACTAACGGCAGATGGGCAGTAGCTAGACTCTGTTCTCTGAAGCGCTCTCTGCCAGCATTTCTAGTCAATTTGACTCCATGGTTTAGCACACAGAGCTGAGTGGAAGGAGGCTGCAGCTCAGAAACTAACAGGGAAACGGAAGAGTATGAGAAGACAGGGCAGGGGGAAACCACAAACGTAACACAAAACAGAGAGGAGAAGAGAATAGAGTCACAGCTACAAAACCCAAAGCAGAACAGAGTTCATACTGCAAAAACAATAAATTGTAAGGAATGGAAAAGAAGGAAAAAAGGCAGAAAGGGAAAAAATGAGCACAGGAAAGAGAAGCAGGGTAGAAGCACATAATAGCAGTTAGAACTCTGCAAATGTTCCTGTTCCTTTTGTTTCACTCTAATTTTGAAAGATGTTATAAACTTACAGCTTGTGAAAGTTCTAGATTTTGAGGCAGGGAGCACAAGGGTCTCTCATCGGAAACACGTAAGAAGCCTACCGTTAACGTACACTGCAATGGTTACTATGATTATTGTCACTTGCATTCACTCAGGGAAAGCATGTTATTTCAACCTCAAATTCAGTTAGATTGGGCGAAACGGCAGCCTCAGAAAGGGTAACTGCATTGTCACCATTGACTTCAATATAACCAGGGCATCACAGTTCCATCAAAGACTCAATTCCCAAGTTCTTTCTAATTTTTATCATGTGTTCTTGACCATAATATACATTAACATATAATAATCACTGTAACTGCAATGTTAATGAGGTCACATAAAGTAAAAGAGAAGAGCAAAAATATTTGCAAACTACTTCTTACATAGTAGCACCTCGTGTGGATTACACCACTCTCTTCTGCACTATGGGTTTTCCTACAGTGTGTGAAGACTCAAGAACACAAAACCACAGTCGTTAACATTGAAGCCTTCACGTAAGACACTAACTTGTTTCACAGCTAATTTTGCGATCTGTTTTCATATTAAACTTCACAGTATAAAATAACAGGCTGCAAAGCCAAGATCTGCACCGAGCTAAAAGTCCAAGACACTGGGTCAAGTGAAAGGGCTCCCACAAAGCAAGATGCTGCACAACATGAAAAAGGTATCATATGTCTGGCCTTCATCCTATGGATTTTAAAGGAAAAAATCTGAATTTTTGACTCAATACACATGACAAAAATGGTAACAATATTACCCAGCTCCACCTTCCTGGAAAGAATAAGAGATTCCTGGAACATGCCTTTCAGCAAGCACTTTTTGCATAGTGTGTTAACAAAACTGCTATATGCAACGCCTTACTGGGCTCAAAACCAACGGCAGTGCCAGCCGTCATTAAGAGGGCCTACGAGCAAATAATTTATTACGGTTAAAGTGAATTTTCATTTCCTCAGTCCAATAAGTCTCTAACGCTCCCTCTGATTAAGCTGCCAAAACAAAAGGAGGAATGAACTGGAGCGAAGGCAAATCTCCGCTTCGGTGGACCCTTCCGCAGGGACCCGCTGTACCGGTAACGGAGGGCGGGCAGCCCGTTACCTGTTCTCGGTCTGGGGAAGGGGCGTTAGGGGCGACCTCAGGGCTCGCACCACTTTCGGCGTGACAGCAGCTACTCCTGCGTCCTCCTCCCAGCCCC